TTGGGGGGGGGGGGGGGGGGCAGTGTGTGGACTGCAAGGAGGGGCGGTCGGGTAGCCTCAAGGACACCATTTCCTCGGTGCAGTGCATGACACCCCCGCATCGGTCTTGCCCAGAGGGAAATGGGGGGCACGTTGGCTGGCAACCAGAGACGCCCCCGCATCGGCCTTCCTCTTCGCATAGAGTGGGGTAGAGGGAAATGGGGGGCACGGTGGCTGGGAACCAGATCATGAGTAGGGCGACCCCTCGCCTTGGTGAGCAGGCATGCCCTTTGTGGGAGGGAAAATATTGGAGATCCACTTGCGGTGCATCGTTCATCTTGGCAAGCCATAACCAAGGGCGTGTGCACCCTGTCGTAGACTTGCATACGTGCATGGTTGGGACGGACATCGCATAGTTCAGAAGATGCTCAAGAACGCATGCCCCTTATCCGCAGAGAAAATGTATTCCGAGCCACGTGCAGCAGTGTGTCGTCCGTTGTGCTTGAAACAGGGAGATCCCCCGTTGTTTTGGCAACTGCAAAACATTTGTCGTCACGAGACCCCGGCGACGAGGTAGAATCATTCGACCACCTAGCGCCAACACCTTGCACGAGAAAGGTTTACGGTTCATGGATGCTAGCGTTGTTGCTGCAACCGTTTGTGCTGCGGCGAAACCGTGGGCAGTTGCGTCTGGACGGAAAGGAGAATATATCGGGATGTTTGTTTCCCTCTCTCTCTCTTGCTTGTCCGTTTCTCTTTGGAAACGCAACACCCGGCCCTTGCCTGTGACATTCCCACTTCGCATGAGCACTTGCAACGAAACCATGCTTCAAGAGCTTCCGAACGGAACACGAGGGCGGCCTATGTCTTGAGTCAACCTACCAGGAACTTTCGCAGACTTCAGCCGCCGGTTTATCTTTGGTTTTACGACCTTCTTTCGAACAGGTGGAGCAGACACTACGCATCTCGCTTCCTCCCCCAATCCACCACTCACACAACTACTTCAACAAAAAAAACGTGACTGCCTACGTTTGTCTAGCCTTCTCCGGATCGTCGGCGGTTGCAAATCTCAACCGCTGCTTCATGCCCCCCTACGCAGGGCTTCACGTCTTTGTCCAAGAGGACACCAGGCCAGACTCTGATGCTAAAAGTCACGCGCGTGCGGGAAACAACTCGTCGTGACGGAGACGCGTGCACGACCAACTCACATCTTAAAACAACTACCACATTACTGTGACCAACCAACCCAATGGATTCCGTCAAATGATGAATCCATGGTGCAAACTAAGTGCAGGACAAAAAACAGCACGCCGTATTTACACAGCACCGCACTCACGGTCTCCCGTCGACCCGGTGAAACTTTAGGCGTGTTAGCGGTGCTCATGCTGTGGTCTTCAACAGACAGTAGCGGCGGCGGGGGCACACAGCACATATGCCACGAGTGGCGCGAACGAAGAGACGTGTGCTTGCGCAGATACGCTGGCTCCCTAGCAAACGCCATCGATCCTATCCTACTCCCCCGGGATGCCCAATCAACCCCTGGTATTACCTGGTTTGGCGCAGCAAATGGAAGGGTGACGCGCAACTTCTGCTTCATCCTTTTGAAACGTAGGCCGGGCCGGCGAATAACCGGCCTATCGCTCCGTTCCGGCATGCGAGGTCAATGGTATAACGACTACCGCATGCGTTTTCACGAGTACCCTCCACCCCCCCGCCTCATCCTCCATCCTGCTGGCTCTCCTCCCGCGGATGCGTCGAATACATACAACATGACAGTACCCCGCAGGATTTCGAAATTCCACCGACAAATACAATACACCTTTTTCATCATCTGCGGACGAGCACGGAAAGACCCTTCCACGCATGAGAAACAAGTGGCACCTTTGATGACAACCTAACCCGTGTGTGCCAAAAAATGGCGGTTCTCCTGGGGGACATTGTTACGAGCCGTTGTGCAACAACAAGCCCATCTCCCGGAGAAGCGTATGGAACACGTGCTGGCCACAGACAAGAGGGCGGCAACACTCTCGGCCTTTGAGAGTACTGCCCCTGTCGGCCCTTGAGAGCCCTCGATCTCTCTCAACCTTCGTTGCCCCTGTCGATACCAAGCACATAATAAACGTGCACAAACTACAGTCCCAAAGGGGCCAACATAGAAGGGGGGAAATAAAGTCCCACCCCGCTCTCAACCCCCACGTACCCAATCGAAGGACGGAAAACAAGCCGCCGCCGCCGACACCAAAACACAATGAGCTGCTTCCAATTTACACCAACATATCAAGATCTGCTCATTCATTGAAGAGTACCCTTCCCCCCACTGGCTCGTCGAGGTGGTCGACTCCTCCCGTAGCGGCGGTGGTGGTAGCGCGTCTGCTGCTGCCCACCACCCTGCCACCGCCGGCCCCGCCTTCAACACCACCGCCGGTGGAAAAGAGGACGCTGCTGCTGCCGCCGCTGGGGAGGGGGATGCCGAGGGAAGCGCAACGGTCGCCGACGGCGGACCACATCCGGCAGGCGTCGCAGCCGCTGGAGGAGGGGGCGGCGGGAGGTGCCCGCGCGTTGTTGCCGCTCTTCTTGTCGTCGTCCAGGTGTTTCTTCCGATTATGGCGGCAGCGCTTGACGTGCAAGAGGGCGGTGCTGAGGACGCGGAGCGTGGACTCGCAGAGCCGGCACGCGTGCTGGTGATCGCCACCGCCGCTGCATGGTGAGTCGCGGGCGTCGCCACTGCTGTCTCGGGAGAGTCGTGCTTGTTGTTGCCCCGCCGAGGGGGCGGGGGGTACTCGCGTGGCGGCCCCCTTGGCGCATCTCCGGCGCTTGTTCATGAGATGCTCGATGCCCAGGCATACCGAGGCTACCTGGTGCGGTGGCGGAAAACGAGCGAAGAAAAGGGGTGATCAGGCCACAGCAACGGTTGAGAGAGCGGTGGTGGTGCCAGAACAAGGCAACGGGCGCCCCATCTACAAGGACAGCTCCAGCGACTAGGGCTGTAAATACATGAACGGTCTTTAGACAATTATTTCTACCGCGGGATACATCGCGCGACCGTCTGCAAGCCCGGAGTGAACGGGAATAGGTGTGAGGACACCGTTTGGTGCCATCGTACGCGGAGGGGTGGTTGGCGCGTCGGTGGCAGCCCCACTTGGTTGAGGGACCAGAAGGGGTGTCACAGCCACAATCCCCTAATCCACGCGGCGTTGAAAACGCACGACGCCCGTCAGTCAAGAGCGACAAAGAAGAGTTTTTTTGCCGACTAGCACCACTTCTTTCCTCAGCGTAAGGACTAAAAACAGACGTAAAAAAGGGCCCAGTATCCAGTAGGTGTCCCTCAACCCTCGCTGCTGTAAAGACTAAGACTTCAACACGTCCCTCGGCACGGGCTGTTATCTTCAACAACGGCAGCCCGTTTCGCTTGTAGCGAAGTGCATCTTTTGCAACACGCGCACGACACGATCGTTGCTGCTGGTGCTCTAAAGTTTGTCGTGGATCCTGATGGGAAAACCAGCTGCAGTACAACTTGTATCTGCTTGGGAGTGTATTAGCGGTACGTATTGTTAACAACTACCACGACGAGCGCACGCAGGCAAAGCCCGTCGTTTGGTTGAAGCAGCGAGGTGATGATAGAGCCTGTGCGAATCAAATTACGGCGGTCGTGATCGAGCGCTCTATTCACAGTACAGAGACGGGCTGCACGGGCTGCACGGCTGGACCAGTCGCGATAACTCTCTCGCACGAGGCCAGGAAAGCGTTCGGACAGGGTGGGCGGGGGTGGGATACACCTTTTCTGCTTGGCTGTCCTTTCCTCTACTGCTGTGTGACGACGCGCACGTGATGCGGCGTAATTACCAACGGAGCTGTTCTCGACGCACTCCACCACGGCAGAGAACCGAGGGAAAGAGTTCGGCAAAGTTCTCTGGGTTGGGACCAGGGCCGGCGATAAAACGGCCCCGCGTGCGTGCTGCATTCAAGAGGGGAGGCATCACACCCATGCACGGACTGGTGAGTGCAGCACTCGTTGTACGCACTCGGATGATTGAGCAGGTGACACGTGCAGAGTGCAGAGAGCCTGGCCTACAAGGGCAACATCTTTCCGTGCGTTGCCGACACATTCTTCTCTACGAAGAGAACAGTTTTGCCCCCCTCGGTATAGGCCCCAAGTAGGCACCCGGAAAATCTACCCTAGACAGCGGTACCGACCTCGGCCGGTAACATCTTGGTCTGCCTAAGCCATATGCAGGCAACCCGGGTGTGCCTACAATGCGGAGATGTTCACATTCTCACTCTGACATTTGACAAAGAAAAAAGGCCGAGGTTCGCTCTCGGTCAGTTTACCGACGAGGGTAGAGACCAAAAACGCCAACATACCTGGAGTTCTTGAATCTCCTGCAGCCTACGCTTAACATCATTCCGGCGCACTCTAGCTTCAGGGGTTGGCCATTCTCGTCCTGAGCACATGGTAGTCGACAGAAGTGTGCTCACACGGAGCAAGCGATCGGACCGAGGTGCGAGGTCCGACGGCAGCAAGGAGCAGTTCCGCCGCATTTCTTTGCCCTCTAAAATCAAGACATTATATGGGTGCTCAGAGCCAGGCAGAACGGTCCGAGAACCGGCCCGAATGGGTGTCGGCGTGCCGCCTCCTCCCTCTCTCGATCCCCCCCCCCCTGCCCCCCTGCGTCACATTTACCCTAAACAAGGTGCACACCATGGCGTCCTTCTGATTAAGCTGAGGTGAGACGGGATCTGGTAGCCTCGCTCCTCACTCCCCGGCCTCCCCATGGCCCCTGGCCTAGAACCTTGTCGCGGCCCGAGCTGTTGTTGGGCGGTCGCTTTCCTCCCTCTTCGGGCGTACGGTCTCGTTACCAGACGTTGTCCGGAGCTGTATGCATATGCTGTCACGACACATGTGTCTCTCATGGGGGAATGTGGCATGTGCCCCACGGGAGAAGCGTGACATGTTTTACGCTAGACTATGCACTGCATATGTGTCCCATTTGAATTGGCATCGACCGCCGGCGCTGTGCGTGTGTGTGTGCCTTCACTTTCTCTCGCTCGTGTCTGGTGTGTGCCTCTTTCTCTCTTCTCTCTCCTCCTTGGGGTGGGTACAGCAGTCACCTCCCAGTAACTGCATCTTGATAGATTTAGATTCGTCTCTCGCTTGTTTCCTTCGCCCTTCACCCTCGCCACTGCAGTTGGTGGTACACAGCGTTTGCTTTTTCTCCCGGTTTGCTTGCTTGGCACACAGGCTTGGCGCACGAAAGTCGCGAAAATCACACCGTTTTTCGTGAATCTGTTGGGTTTGTATTCCATTTCAAGGCCTCGGGTTAGACTAAAACTTTCAGAGTAATGGTGACGGTAACAGCTGCTGTTGCTCTCTCCCGAAAGTGCACTCGAGACCCACCCGTGTCGGCTAAACTCCCACACATACCTTACGAATATCTCTAACGCTGAGCTGAGCTGCTATGCGTTCGTTGGGGGGCTATGCGCAGAAACACCTGGCTGCCCATGAACTGCCACGACGAACAACGAATTTTTTCAAAAATTACCCATCACAAAATTATGTCGTCGAGATTTTTTCTGTCTTGTGAATCACGGGCTCGAGCTTCTACAGCTACCGTAGTTGCAGCAGTAGGGCCCTGACCCGCTTCGCCCACCTATCACACGCACTTCTATCTTGCGATTATTCCGTTGCTACATACGAGTTATGTACCTGCAGCGCATGGACTAGCTATGCTACATCCTTCGTAGATTGACTGCTTGTGACTCCTCTGTTGTTTGTTCGCCGTTTCTGGCAAAAGGATTATTCCCGAAGCGTGCGTTTAGATTCCCGAGACGATGGCTGTGAAATGCGGGCCCTGCGAGTCTCCTGTGTCCCTGTTTCCCGTCCAAATTCCGCTGCTAATGATGGGGCGTTGATTTCATCGTTTTCAAACACCGCATCTCTTACGCCGGCAAGATAGCCACGCTCAAGCACTCCTGGCTGACTGCTGTTTTTGATTCCGGGCACAACGCCCAGCCTTTTGGCTGGTTTCAGGCACGCAATTGTGGAGTACACCGCGAAACCACTGTAGCGAATAAAGTAGTAAATGTCTTGGAAGATGTCGTTTAACACTGCTGTGCTGTCGTCCCGCAAGCATACCAACCAGCCTCCCTCCCTCTCCCACTTTTTGCGTCCTCCCCTTGCCCCAGATTTCTACCAGAAACCCGATCGCAAAAGAATCCCCAGCGCTACAAGCACTAAAGCTATCAACATGTCAAGGATCTCCATAGTTCCATCCCGTCAGTTCGCGCACAAGCTGGGACGCCAGAAGCGACAACAACGAGGCCGCAAGAAGAAACGATAGCCCACGAGCCGAGCTGCAAGCAAGCACGTACAACCGCCACGACGGTCAACACGTCGTAACAGCCACGACCACTGCCGAGAGACATCGTAGGAGGAAACACCCAATTCCTCTCCTCGTCGTCGGAATCCAGGGGCAGGGTGCAAAGAAAAAAAAAAAAAAAAGTAACGATTTGTCGCTGGCCGATTAATCAGTCCTTGATCAGTTTTTTTTTTTTTTTCCGTCAGTTAATTAAGAGTCTTCGCCGTCATGCACGACGACGAGACCATCGCCATGCACGCCCCGTTCTGGGCATTCTCGGGAGCGCACCGCCCCGTCGAGGAGAGCACGGTGGACAGCAGCAGCAGCGGCCGCAAGGCTAATAACGCCGGCGGCGGCATTGCCAACAAGTACAGCATCGAGGCCGGCGCCGCCGGTGGCGGCGGGTCCGCCGCCGCCGCCGCCGCCGCCGCCGCGCCGGGCAAGGGCAGCAGCGGCGGCAGGGACGTTGTTGTCAACGGACACGAGGGAGACATCGCGGACAACGTCGACGGTTTCCTCGACGAGTTCATGGCTCTCGCCGGTGGTAACGACGAGGACTACGGTATGATGTTGGAGGAGGGGGGTGGAGGAGGCCCGGCCATCTCGGAGGAAGACCTGGTGTTTCTGGCCGACATGGACCTAGCCGACTTCCTGCCGCCGGCAACAACGGCGGAGGACGGCGGCGCGCTGCTGTCTCCTTCCTCCGTCCACGAAATGGAGACCGTGCCGAGTGAGGGCGGAGGAGTGTCATCAGAGCCGGTGATGACGGCTGCGGCGGGGGGAGGTGGTGTGATGGGTTCGCCGGCGGCGGCGACAGTCGCGGCACCGGGGGTCGAGACGGATGGAGGAGGGGCGGCAGGGAGGACGGGGAACGCTAACAATCAGCATGCTGCTGCTTCTGCTGCTGCTGCTGCTGCTGCTGCTGTCACCGACTACGGTAGCGGCGGCGGCGGCGGCAGCGATGCCGCCGCGGCCATCAGCCTTAAGGAGCAGGTTCGGCGGCAGAAGGTCGCTCGGTACCTGGCCAAGAAGCAGCGGCGCTGCTGGTCCAAGCCCGCGGCCTCGTCGTACCAGAGCCGGCAGCGCGTCGCCAACTCGCGGCCGCGGCACAAGGGCCGCTTCCTGCCCCTCGAGTCCGAGTTCGTGCCTATCGCGGAGCTGCAGCGGCGGCAGCGGGCGCTCATGGTGCAGATGCGAGAGAAGGCGGCAGCGGCGGCGACGGCGGAGGCAACAGCGGGGCCAACATCAGCGGCATCAACAACAGCAAGAGGGACTGCTGCCGTGGGGGCTCCGTACGGGGCGGGCGTCCCCCCTCCCCAAGAGTTTAGTTCCCAGTGTACCATTTAAATTATGAGACTTTTTCGGGATGGGGAGGCACTGCTCTCATCATTTTTGTCTTTCTGTCCGTTGTCAGCGCGGAAGAAAGGTTTTGGCTGGTTTTGAGTATGATGTAGGCGGGGCAGAAATGCCGCGAGTGCATAGAAATCGTTCGCAACGTGGCTCGATTCACGTCTGGGGCACACGAGTGTAGTTTATAGGGAGGCTTGTCAGAGTTGTGTGGCCTAGAGAGCAGTGTCGCGGCTGGAATCCTTGACAACGGGAGCACGTAGATACAGCAGCAGTGTGGGATGATGCTGTTGGATGTATATCGCAGCGCCGTAACTACTGCTGGTCTCGTAAATCGTGGTGCCATTTGGTAGGGTAGGGTAAAAGGCCGAAAATGACGCCGATGAAGGATAAAAGGCGACGGGAATCCCACAATCGTCTTGTGTTCGGTATTTTAACGCGAGTAGTAGACGGGCGGACGCGGCATGAACGTGGTTGCACTTTTTTTCTTCTTGCTGCGGTCGTCAATAAACTTTTTAGACAATTAGCTTGGTGCCTTTCCCGAGAATTTTGATGGTGGTCTGGGGTTACTTTGTTGCATGGTTGAGTTGTGTCGCCTGGCTCGTTCGAAAACGTTCGGTGTCTGCAGCGTGCATCCGCAACTATGGTTATTTATATCGGTTTTTGTTGTTCTGGAGTGTGGTCAACCACCTGCGCGTGCTGGCAGAACGGGCGGAGGTGACGGGCAATGTATGCTACATGGTTGTTTGTTCATGTTTGTCTTCCGGGCGGGTGTAGCGAGAGAGTTCCGACGTTGTGGAAGAGAGTTGAGAAAGCGACCAATTTTATGCAAGAAAAAACAAACATGCCGTGAACAACGAACGCTCTCTTGGTCCTTGTGGGCAGAGCGAGCGGTTAAAACCGATATAACCCTAACCCCAAGCATTCGTTCCGTGTCATGTTCACCGGATCGGGACCCGCGCTAGTTTCGTGCGCACGCATACCCGATGCATCAACGAACCCAACAGCGGGCTTAGTTGAGGCACCCTGGTGCACGCCAAAAGCGTTTGCCGTGTCGGCACTTGGTCCCCCAAGAGAAGTGTCAAGGTGAAATATCAACCTCAACGTCCGACAGCGCACGGTTAGGTCTTGTTATTCGCTGGCGAAACGAACCACCCTCCTCTAGCCGACACGATTAAGCGTACACGTATGAGTTCGTTGCAGAACGATGGCACCGAAGCATCCCTTTCGAGGTCTTGAACCGACGTCCACACCCCTCTCGCTGCTGCTGTTGCCGCCGCTGATACCAGCGTGTCGACCAAACAAGACAGACGCCATCAAACCTTGCCATTAAACAAACAAGCGTTAGACAAGACTCAAAAAAGACTCGACACGCTCTTTGAAGCTCCTCAAGCTGGTGAACCACTTCGTAGCCCTCTCTCAAGTGCCCTCCCCGCTCCTTCTCTCTGCGCTGCTCTCCTCGTGAGGCTCTTTTTGCGTCAACACCCATGTAGCTTCGACAAAGTAATCCAAGGACCGCTCCCACTTAACCTACGGCCGGGAACTTCGCGCGAGACACCCACAAAAATGGCGACCCTCAAACCCCGCGCAGGCACAACGCCTCCCTGGACACCGTGAAAGAGACGTTGCGTCCCCGCCCCCGCCGGAAGCAAGGCTTCCTCGAATTCGTCCATCACGCGCGAGTACCGCCTGCGCTGCCCCCCCCCCGCACCGCAGGGACGCAACAACCAGTCGTGATTTACATCAAACGTGGATTGATGTGGTCGTCCTGCTCAGAAAACAAAACCCCGGGCTGTGTGTGTGCAAGACTAGAATCCCCCCTAGCAGTCCGGAACACAATAACCCAAATATGATAATTCACAGCGAGCGGTCTGTGGCTTCTCCTCCTCCTCCCCTGTCACGCCCGGCGGTCAACGTCTAATAATCCCACCATGATTTTTTCCTATTGGTGGGACCGATACCGCGAACGACCATGTGCACCCTTGCCCCCCCCCCCACCCCCCGCGGGCGCGCCAGGAGTAACATGAACGCTAGACGAAGGAATCATCCCCGTGGTTGTCTTCTGGGACACCCGCGACGGCAGCAGTCGGACTGCTGCGAGCACCACCGTCGCTACCGCTCCCGCCCGACGACCGCCTCCCCCCAAACACGGAGCCGCCCCTGGCGGGCTCGGATCGGGGGGGGGAGGGTGAATCGCCGTCGCCCCCTTCCCCGGGGAAAAACGACTCTTGGTAGAACTCCTCATCGACTTCGGTGCCCATGTCGTCGTCACCGTTGCCGTGGCGTTGGTTGCCGTCGCCTGTTTCTCCTTCGATGATCTGTCGTGCACGTTGCGCCGAAGAACAGAGCGTGTGGTGCATATAGGGCGGGGGCGCATGTCAGCGAAGGCGGGGTGAGCGTTCGGATGGCTGGACGGAGGGTATCGGCACACGCTCATCGTTTTTTACACGAGGGCTAAAACAGCACGAATCGGTAACGTAGTTAGCCCCGTTCAAGCGACCATCTGTCGGAGGACGGCGGCGAATGAGTCGAAAAATAAAAAATCTCTCTCAAACACATGGGGAACAAGAAAAAACGCACCGTCATCTAACGTCTGCCACAGGTGACGCGTGCAGACAGGACGGTGACAGAAAAACGAAAAGACAGAACCCCCAAAAAAGTAAGTTCAAATTTACCAAGGGCACGCGGAACACCCATCGTTCGTAGCTGGAGCGTGTAGATTAAAAAGTCACAGCCGCAAGACAGTCACAGGTCGCTGCAAATCGAAAAAACGGAAGGAGGCCAACCGCCAGTTACGTCTTCCCGAATCTCAATAAAACATACACATGTGCGTCCACAATTTCAAGAGTTCATGACAACAACATGTCTCTGGAACTTCACCGAAGAAAAAGAAAAAGAAAAAAGAACTCACCTCGAAGAGCCTGACCTCACGAGAGTCAAACAGCCTCAGGTCCGCCGTGGTCTTGACGAACAGCTGGCTCCACAGGTAGATCGACTGCCATGGCTCCTCCACCGCAGCCACTCTCGTCAGAACCTCCACCTCCCCCCCCCCCCCCCCCCTCCCCCTCC